TGGGACCCTGCAAGGCCTCTCCTGCTCCAAGAGGCTGCGCCGGCAAAGACTCATTTCTGGCGGAGTTTGGGGGAGAGAAAGAAAGACTTCTGCTGCTTCTGCTGCTTTCCTTGCATGAAGCCAAAAGTCTCTCCTCTCTCCCCCCTGAGAACGGAGCTGGAGACGGTATCCTGCGATCCCAAATAAAGAATGATGGATCAGTAGGAAAACGGGGTGGGGAATTTTCCTGCAGACTTTTTTTGGGATTTTCCGAGGATCTCTGGTCCGCGGGATTTAACATTAGGAGTTTGCTGGTCCCTGAGGTCCAAAAGGTTGGCGACCCCTGGAAGTAGAGGATGAGTAGACCTTGGAAGCAGCAGCTCTGGAATGCCTACCCAGCTCTGCTGGCTTTGGCCAGCAACTGCAAGCATGGGGCGCCGAGTCAAGGGCCACTGGGCCTGGGGGCGGGGGGGGGGGCTTACCAGAAGATCTGGCCCAGGAGCAGGGCCGCGTAGTCACGCAGGGTCCAGTGGTCGTTCAGCGGGTTGATGGAGGCTGCCAAAGGTTCCAGGACACAGTACATGACGCTGGCAATGAGACTTTTGACATAGGACCCCAGGCACAAGTAGGGGTTCTGGATGAGGCTCTTGGCCATGTGCAGAAGGCGGTTGAGCTGCTCCAGGTCGTGGCTCACCGACTTGACCTGCAAAGGAAGGCAGAGAGCAAACATCTCACCCAAGGTTTTTGTGGTTCGCTGGCAGCCCTACGCGGACGGCAGTTGGAATCGGACAGTGGGGAAGAACAGGGACCAGTCTGGGAGTCTGGAGAGGACTCGGACGAGGGTCCTCCGACGCAGAGATGGGGCCAGAACGATCTGGGAGTTGTGTTGTCGACTAAAAAATACCTCTTTGGTCTTTTTAGTTGCCAGCAGAAAGAGAGTGGAGGGAAAGCAGTGCTTTCCTTAAATGCTTCAGATAATCGCCTTGGCAGCCGAAGCTGTTGGCACGCAAGATTATTACTGGAGAGCATGATTGATGACTCTTGGTTATGGGTGTGTCCCATTGGACAATATACATCCAGGGGGTGGGCGGAAGACCAGGGTCAAGGGGGAAATGAATGATGTGCCTTCGAGTCGGCTGCACCCAGGTAACGCCGATGTGGTCACTACTAATAAATCAATTTTTTTACTCTTGAGAGGTGCAGCTAGAGAGTCATGATTTGAGTGGAGGTGGATTGTTGGAGTCCTGACATGTCAGCTTCCAGAGTTTGGCAGCAGCAAGGCAGAGGATCCCAGGGAGCCTGTTCCCAGTGCGCGTGTGCTCAGAGCTGCCAGAAGGTGAGAGTAGCTGAAACAGAAGGGGTGACTCGGGGGTAAGGCTGGGAGATGATTGCCCTTCCCCTAAGGGATAAAGGAAATGCAAAGGTAGAGAAACCTTTGCAGGAAGCAACTTTGTTCACTCTGTTCGGATGAATCCTTGAAGCTCTGTGTGGACTTTGTACTTCGGCTGGTTTTTTTTTTATAATTCATTTGGCACTCTAGTTGTTGGCAGCTGTTCAAAGGAGAGAAAGGTGGGTGCTTATCTCGAGGAACTGTCTGGATCTCATTACAGGCTGGGAACGCACATCATTTCCAGCGTTGAAATAAAACATGAGTTGTTTTAACTAAGCGTGGGCTTAATTATGGTCAGAACACAAGGCCTCCCTGAAGTGGTCCTTCCTACTTAGGTTGTGTCAAGGACAACCACCTTGAAAACAGGGGGGAGGTCCCCCACTTCCAGGCAGGTGAGCTTCAGATGCCATCACAGGGCTGGCTGTCTTTCTGGGGAGAGCAGGGGTGTAAAACTCAAACTCGGATGCCGTATCCGACCCATGGGAGGGGGGGGGTTCTGACCCGCGGGACAGCTGTGGAAACGGTCAAGGACTGGCCCACGGTGCCTCCGCCAGCGAAAACGGAGCTTGGGAGGATTAACTAAAAGCAAAACAGGAGAAGAAATGTTTCTTCCGCTTTTGCCTTTGAGCGTGCAAGAAGGGACAGGAAAGGAGAAAAGGGAAAGTGGGAAGACCAAAGAAAAACAAAGCAAAAAGGGAAGACGGGAAGAGAGCAAGGAAGGAAAAAGCAGGAAAGAGGGGAAGGAAGAAGAAAGGAGAAGAGGGAAGGAAAAAGGAGGAAGGGAGGGAAGGAAAATCCCGCCTTAGCTCCCCTGGACAACAAGGGTTTGGCACTCTTCTTGGTCTCGCCTTCCTCTGCTGGAGACAATGGATCCCCCAGCCCCACCTCGGCCACCACAACACGAGGGCCCCTGACATGAGTGATGTTGAAGTTGGCCATGCCCACCCTGGCCATGCCTCCCCGCCCCCCCCCCCAGGTCAAACATAACTGTCATGCCCCTGTCGGAGTCTGAATCTGAGGAGGAGGAAGATGAACCGCTGACAGGGAGCGGGAGAGGGGCTCCGTTGGCTGTGGAGAAAACTGGGGAAGGGCAAAGTCCGGCTGGGCAGAGCAGGGGAGAGGTAGAACAAGGGAGAGGTAGAACAAGGGAGAGGGAATTCGGAGGAAGACCCAGGCCCACCCCCTCCTCATCCTAGGGCACGCAGGGAGGAATGGAGAAGGGAGCAATGTGGGTTGCGTGGCTTACGGGGGAGGAAAGGGCCCTGCTTCCCTTCATTAGCCACAGCTGGGCAGAGAGTTGATAAGAAAGGCAGGCTGCTGGGAGCAAACGTGACTGTATCCTGTGTTGTCGTGGCTTATCTGTGTTCCTGGCAATCTGACCAACCGTGTTGAGTTTTGCCCCGCCTTCAAGTCTGAAATTCTCGCTCCTGCCCTGTCAAGATAATTACTTCAGCTTGGTTTGTTTGGACTTTTAAGTTACAATTTGTGTTGCTCATGTTTTGGACTTCGTTTTCTGCAACCAAAGGCTGTTCCTGGGAGACTTTTTCTCCAGCCGGAAGGTAACCTGGACATTTGAGGCAAAGTTGGAGATAATAAAGGCACTCTTATTGATTATCTGACTGCCTTTGTATCATGCCCCTTTGTGTCATCGCAATAACCCTGATGCAGCACTCAACGAAATCGTATTTGATACCTCTGGGCTAGAGGCATTGTGGGAAGCCATAATCATAAGCCGCGAAACGGCTTCCCTTCAATCGCGGGAAGATTTTTTAAGAAGAGAGTGGACAGCCGTTTGTCTGAAAAGATCTGCTCGAGCCAGGTCCCTTCCAGTCCCATATAATTAAATCTTTAAAGCAATTTAAATACAAGGGTAACAACGAAAAAGGCTACATGCTATTGATTGATTTTCTCCAAGGGAAATGGGCACAAATGACCTGGAATCGGAGATAAATTATCTTCTAGAATAGTTGAACCTCACACTGGTGAGCATAAAAGATTGGGCAGTTAACTTTCTCCTTTTGGCACAGAGAGTCTCTTTTTCCGTTTTACGGCCATCTAAGCGCCCATCGTTCCATCCTTATGAAAATATCTGGTTGCGTCCCCGTGGCTTATGGGAGAGGAAGCGGCCATAATCCCCCCCCTCATTGGCTACAGCTGGGGGAAATAATATATAGGAGGGGCGTTTAAAACACAGCGTTGCTACAAGCAAAGCATGTTTTATTTCTGCCTGAGGTTTATCTTGGTTGGTGTTCGTCCAACAGACCGTGCCTTGTTATCTTCTTGAAGTTTGTAATTAATTATACTGGTCTGTTGTGCAAATTCCTTCAGTGTGGTTTGTTTTGGGTTTTTTTTTAATTTCTCCATTATCTCTTGAGTTTGGACTGTATTTCTATCTTTTGGAGATTATTTTGGAAAGAATTTAATCTCCAACTGAGAACAGTTGAACAGTGGGGGCCAAGTTGGAGGCATAAAAGGAAATGTATTTACATTTGGGAATTTGTTACATTTGTACAGCTTCCCGGGTCATCACAGTAAAACTACAAGTGGTGAATGATCTTGGTCAGCTCCTTGTGACTGGAGGAGCAATTTATGAATGAACGAATCCTTCACTCACCCCACTCACGATGTAGACAAAGTAAGGCAGGAGAGCCGCAATCTTTGAATTGGTCTGTAAATCCTGGAGGGCAACCTAGGAGAGAGAAGGGTTCAACTCGCTGATGTTGGTCAACGTTTGTAACAGACCTTGTAGGTCATCTAATCCAACCCTCAACCCAAATAGGAGACCCTACACCATTTCTGACGGAGGACATGTCTTTCTGAAAGCCGACAGTGATGGAAGCTCCCACAACTTCCAAAGGCAACTTCTGTTCCATGGGTTGATTGCTCTGTCAGAAAAGTTCTCCTAGAACTGAACATGACACAGAGGGGTTGCCCAAAATGGCTCCCCAACAGAGGTTGAGATCAGCCAATTTGAGGGTGCAGAGAAAAACTGCAGAGAAGAGCAACCAGGATAATGAGGGAACTATAGGCTCAAACATACGATGAACGGTTGCAGGAACTGGGCCTGGCTAGTCTAGGGAAGAGAAGGACCAGGGGGGACAGGAGAGCAGCCTTCCAATATTTGAGGGGCTGCCCCAGAGAGGAGGAAGGGGGTCAAGCTATTCTCCAAGGCACCTGAAGGCCAGACAAGGAACAATGGATGGAAACAAGGAGAGATTCAACCTGGAAATAAGGAGACACTTTCTGACAGGGAGAACAATCAACGGATGGAATAGAAATTGCTTTCAGAAGTTGTGGAAGCTTCATCATCACTGGAGGCTTTCAAGAAGAGACTGGACTGCCATTTGTCAGAGATGGTGTGTAGGGCCTCCTGCTTGGGCAGGGAGGGGAGTTGGACTAGATGACCTACAAGGCCCCTTCCAACTCTGTTCATCTGTAAATGTCTTGAGGGTTCTTTCAGGGCCGCTCTCTGCAAATCCCTTCGTCTTCCTCCGCCTCCTGTCCTCTCCTATTACCAGAGGCTCTCCTCCTGATTCACCTTCATCAGCTGAGGGTCATCGCCCAGTACGGCCCGAGTCACGTGCTGGTAATACTTCAACAGGTCATCTGTCAGCATGGAGACGGCACTGGGCACTGGAAACAGAAATGAAGAGGAGGTCTTGGAACCCCAAAAAGGGAGGGAAAGAAAGGGTAGAGTGGGAAACCAATAGGCTCTGAAGAGGTAAAAGGTTTTTCCCCTCGCACATCCGTGCTACTCGTTTCTGGCTCTAGGGGGCGCTGCTCATCTCCGTCGCAAAGCGGAAGAGCCAGCGCTGTCCGAAGACGTCTCCGTGGTCATGTGGCCGGCAGGACTAAATGCCTTCGAAGGCGCACGGAGCGCTGTTCCCTTCCCACCAAAGGGGTCCCTATTTTCCTACTTGCATTTTTTTTTAACGTGCTTTCGAACTGCTAGGTTGGCAGAAGCTGCTGAGACAAGGAACGGGAGCTCACTCCGTGACGTGACGCTAGGGATTCGAACCGCGGAACTGCCAACCTTTCTGATCGGCAGAATAGACTCTACCAGTTGAATTACAGTTCCCGGGGATCCCCCGTTCCCTTCACAGAGGGAGCTGCTGAGAAATATGCTCAGATTCTCCATTTGTGCAAGGAAGCCTTCACTAATTCACAACTTAAATATCCCAGTTCACCAATGGCCACACAGTTCACCAATGTTTTTCAAACCAGGAAGCTTTAGAATGTATGGACTCCAACTCCCAGAATCCACCAGCCGGCATGCTTCAAAAAATGGGTGGACTCCAACTCCCAGAATTCCTCAGCCAGCCCTATTCTGGGAATTGAACTCCACACACCCTAAAGTTGGCTAGATGGAGAAACTGTCAGCTGGTGCTCCATTCAAAATCCAAGAAAGAAATACTTTAGACTCTTTTAATCAGAGAAAATATATCTTTTACTGGAAATCAAGTGGTAGCAACAAAAGAATTCTGAATCTGAGAAAATGGGCGCGTAAATCACATATACAAAGCGATGGCAACGTTCCCACCCCCAATAGTTCAATTGGCTCATCCAATTAAAAGTTGTGTATATCATCGTGTGGGCATCTCCAGGTGGTGATGAGGCCTCTGTCCGTTGACCTTGACATACTTTGATAAAGGGTTGCAGCTGCGCATAACATAGGATAGAAACCTACACGAGAATGTACCCCCCCCCCCAGCTTATACAGTTCTGGTTTATAACACCTCCGGTTTGCTTCCCATAACCATATTCCCCCTCTTCCCCCCGTTACTTATGACAGCCGAAAGTTGCAAAGCAAAGGCAGAAAATCTTGAAGCCTGACAGAAACGCTCCAATACTCCAATACCTTAAGAAAGTTCAAAACATTCTCAAAGATCCATCTCATCCTGGGCACCCCCTTTTTTTTTTTTTTGAACTATTACCATCTTGCAGATGGTACAGGATAATAAAAAAACAAGGGCAAACAGGTTGAAAAACAACTTCTATCCCAGGGCGGGAACTCTGTTGAATTATACTGTATAGTGCAATATGAGGGCATTATCAGGGGTTTTCAATTCTATGTCTAGAATGTGTGTTTGCATCTTATTTTTATAGTTATGATAATGTACACTGAAGATTGTATTTAATTTTTTTTTAAGAGGTGCGGTGACAATAAACTAAACCTCTGATGAACGATTTAAAAAAACAAAAAACGCAATTGCCGCTCTCAGACTTCGCCAAATAAACATGTGATCCCTGATTGTGCTGGCCTGTTTCAAGAAGTACAACCAAACCCGCGTTAACAATCCTTACCTGATCCTTGTGCCTCAAGGTTACCTTTCCCATCAAGGTAAGAGACGTGAACTAGAAGAGAAGAGAGCATCAGTGGCAGAGAGACGCTGCTCAGAAACAGATGAGAAACTGCTGGGGACCTTCTACCGCTGCACCATAGAGAGTATCTTAACTCACTACATCTCTGTATGGTTTGCCAATTGCACGGGGCAGATAGGAAAGCACTCCAGAGGGTTAATGTCATTGCCCAGAAGATCATGGGGTGCCCTCTCCCCCTCTTTGGAACAGCTTTAGAGCTCCCGCTGCCTTAAGAAAGTTCAAAACATCCTCAAAGATCCATCTCATCCTGGGCAACCCCTTTTATTTGAACTGTTACCATCTGGCAGACAGTACAGGAGAATAATAAAAACAAGGACAAATAGGCTGAAAAACAGCTTCTATCCATGGGCAGTAAGTAGTGTATTTTTTTTGGAATATAAGACCTCCGAAGTATAAGACGCACCTAGCTTTTGGGGAGGAAAATAAGAAGAAGAAAACTCGGACCCAGCAATTTGCTTCCTTGCAGCAAACAGCCGGTTTCAGCTTCCGCACTGCCTGATTAGCACGAGCAGCTGATTGTCAGTTGGATCGGCCTCCTGACGATTAGCTGTTTCAGGCTGCAGGGATTGCTATCGCCTATTGCTGCCTCTGCGTGCCCCATTTTCAGCCTCTGCACACTCCATTTTCACCCCGTTCCAGGAGGCGGGGATCTGAACGGGTGGAAAACGGGCCACACGGAGGCCCAAACTGGAGAGGCAGCAATAGGCAATCCCTGCAACCTGAAACAGCTGATCGTTGGGAGGCCGATCCAACCGCCAATCAGCTGTTTGTGCTAACAGCCTGTGCTGAAGTTGAAACAGGCTGTTGGCTGTTTGCTGCAAGGAGGTGTGATGACCCAAAGGGGCGCGGCACAAAGGCAACACAGCCACATAAGTAAGAAAAGCCCCTTTAATATCTCCAACTTTGCCCCCAATGTCCAGGTTACTTTCAGCTGGAGAAAAAACTCTCCCAAGAACCATCTTTTAAGTGGAGGAAATTCAGTCCGGAAAACAAAGAACATATAAATGTATCCGTAGATATCAAGATATCATCAAGATATACCAATACAGCTCTGTACAAATGTTCATGTAACACCTCATTTATAAGCTGCATGAAGACAGTTTATCTATTAGCGCTAACGGAGCCCGACAGGGGAAGGCAAGGCGATGCCACCCCAGGAAGACAGCTCCATAGTCAGGAAGTGACTTGGAGGAGATCACTGGGTGGCCTCCCATCCCCCTTCTCTTCTGACTCAGCTCTCCAAACACAGCAAACCCTCTGAAGTTCAATCAATGACTCCTTTATTAGGAATGCCGACAGCCCTGACAAAAAGTTTCTCTCTCACCTCAGGCTAAACAAGTCCGTCCGGCAGGGAGTTGTCTGCCACATCTATTCATCTCCGCCCCCTGCCTTTGATCCCCAGGGCTACGGTGGGGCTTTGCTAGCAGTGGTGGCTCTTCTGTCTCAAGGACCGGCCCATAGATTTCCCCTACTCTCCTCTCCTCTGCCTCCTGCACATCAGGCACTGGATCCAGCTGTTCCTCCTCTTCCTCATCAGCCACCTGCAAACCTGGGGGCTGTTGACTCTCCATTTGAGGGCTGACGGATGGCCCACGCTCTGCCTCTGCCTCTGCCTCTCTCTTTCTCTCTGCCAGCTCCATTCTCTCTTCCCCCTCAGAGCTCTCAGGTTGCCCTGATGCTAACCCTGACTCCCACGCCTCCTCCTCCTCCTCTTCTGACTTGGTTGCCAGAGGGGCCAGAGGCCAACAGGCCACAACACCATTTTTCTCCCCGTGGCCTACCTCTCACGGCTGTCTCTGCACAGTCCTTGGGGACGCTGGTGGCCAGTGCAACCTCCACCAGGTTGACCTCGCGATCTTCTTGGAAGTAAAGTTCTCCTTCCTTAATGGCCCGGAAAGGGAGAGGGTCCGGAGAGCCATGGCCACACACCACCTGCGTACAGCAACAGCCACACAATCAGCATTGCTTCAAGTCAGGGGACTCCAGCCTTGGCAACTGGTGGACTTCAATTCCCAGAATTCCTCAGCCAGCCACTTTACGACTGGTGGACTTCAATTCCCAGAATTCCTCAGCCAGCCACTTTATGACTTGTGGACTTCAACTCCCAGAATTCCTCAGCCAGTCACTTTATGACTTGTGGACTTCAGTTCCCAGAATTCCTCAGCCAGCCACTTTATGACTTGTGGACTTCAATTCCCAGAATTCCTCAGCCAGTCACTTTATGACTTGTGGACTTCAATTCCCAGAATTCCTCAGCCAGCCACATTACAACTGGTGGACTTCAACCCCCAGAATCCTCAGCCAGCCCCTTTATGACTTGTGGACTTCAA